GATAGCTGTTAGATGTCACTAATGAGTATATAGTCTCTAGATTCTGTTTGAAAATTATTATATGATTGAATATTATAGATTATTATGGGGAAAATATTTAGGTATTTTTGTTTGAAAGATCTATTAAAACCAACTTTTCTATTCATTATATATAGCCATTTGTAACTTCATTTTTATTTGGGATATTTTACTTCATTCTAAGTGTCAAGTGCCTGTCTCTTTGTAATGTTTATACTGTGTTTTCCCAAGGCCCTGTAAGTCAAAGGGAATGACCAAGGCTGAGGGGAAAACCTAGTAATCTTTAAGGCTATAGAGCTTTTGAGGACTCAAGGCCTTCATTCATCTTCCTTTTCTCTTGGCTACCTGATGGTTTCTGTGCTTTCCTCAACCACTAAAGCAAGCAGGTGTTGAGGTCCCTCGTTGCCACACTCTGCCTTGCTATCTGGAGGTCCCAGGGTTATCTGCTGCTCCTGTGGCTTCCCTTCTCTAACCACAGCCAGTCTTGAGGCTTACACTTCTGACGTCTCTGCTCTCCTTGATTACCTTAGCTACTGTCTCTTGACTCTTGCTACTGGTTTTACCTTTCATCTTACCATTTTCGTCTCCCATCCAGTGGTTATAAACTCATGTTGACTTCTCATTGGTGTTTTGTTTCTCTCAGTGTGGAGAATTCCTCTTTGCAATTTAAGATCGTTCCCTAGGAATGACATAAAAGAAGGTGTTTGCCTACTAGTTCACGTTCAAGGGAGCAAATACAGACTGTGGTTACCTGGAGTCAAAGAGCATGAGTATAAATCTTCTCCTTCAGAACCACCTCTGCTGTTCAATAATTAGGCCTCATGCAGACACATGATGTTGGTAAGACTAAGGCACAGAACCTCTAGCAGTCTTCTGATACCATTGCTCTGATACTCATAATAACTAAGTATTCTGTCTGTTAATTTAATAGTCTAACCTCCTAAGAAATACAAAATCATTTGATCATTAACCACCATAAGGAGCACCTGTTTTAGATGGGTATGTTTGTTTTGTCTTGGCTCTGATTTCTGGTCCACTTAGCTCTATTCAAGAACAGAGATTTGGGACTGATGGCCAAGGAACAAGTTATTCTAAGAGTTGGCCTGTGGGTATGGCAGGACCATTTTATGGAAGTCTTCTCCATGGTCGTCACAAAAGAGAGAGAATGTAACTGGCTGGAAAACTATAGTAGCTCTATTAAAGGGTAAAATGTGGATGAAAGTAATTTGGGTAAAATTTTCAACCTCCTAACATAGAGTAACATGTAGAGGTTATAGACTAGCTCTTCCCAAGAAAGGGCAAACTTCTCTAGCCTTCAGGTCTCTTCATTTAATGTTGCTGCTGCCAGTGAAGCTGCTTGACTGGGGCAAGAATTATCAAATTTTTCAAGGAGCAACTTTTGTCATTCTCATAGCAGATTTTTCTGTATTTTCATCCTCTCCTGATTTTTCCAGGGAATCTAACCTTTAGGCTACCTGCTAACCAATGTGAAGTACTAGATCAATCTCAACATGTTTGTGAACATGCTTGCTGAAAATTTAAATCAAGATGAGTTTTCCAGAATCACTTTCCTTTGTGTACCATGTTCCAGTTGAGTTCAGGGTCAATGCCTACCTGAGTCCATTTCTGTATTCCTCCACTACAAAGGCTGCTCATGAGGCAATAAACAGTATCAGCATTCATAATGATACTCCCCATGTCCATAAAGCAGTTATCCAAAACAGAGCCCAGGTGGCTCAGCATCTTCTTCTCTCAGGTTGAGTTCCCTTATTATCCATAGCACTTCTGTTCCCTACTTTCCTGACTCCCTCTATTGAGCCTATTGCTTTCATTCCCTAAGAGCTTTAAGTTTCATTTTTTTCCACCATTCTAAAAAAAGACCTACAGGGTCCTACTGGAAAAAGAATTATTATTTCTTTTCCTTGATAATCTAGTGTTCTTAAGATAGTAATGGGACTAAAGAACAGATTCTTTCTCACCATTTTTGTCCCATGACTTGGTTTTTATGGTACTTGAACATAATTACTACACTAATTCACAAATATTATTACAGCCAAATCTTGAAAGCACTGTAAGCTTGGCTTTATTGATTAACAGTCAAGATCAGCTAAAAGATGGAGAGAGCTGGGACTTGAGCTCACTTCTGTTCCCATATTGCACGTTCTTCCCATGATATGATGGAAGTTCTTTTACAGTAATACTCTTGCAAGACTGTTGAGCACTGGAAGGGTAGGAGGTTATTTTTAAAAATTCCCATTCTTCTAACTATTAGCTATGCAATATTTTCTCCAACTTTTTTTTACAAAAGTATCAAAGCAGAAAAGTTTCAGCTACCATCCATATATCCGCCTAGATGTTGACATTGATATTTTACCATACATTCTTCTATCATGTAGTAAATTTTAGCTATGCAATTTTAACAGGCTGTTTTTTTCTTATTGTAGTACAGCTTCCCAGTCTGCAAAATGGGAATATATAATACCTATCTCATAGTGTTGTTTGATAATTACCTAGGACAACATTTATAATTGATCAGCAAAATTCCTGGAATAGGATGAATCATAATTTCAGTGAAAATGTTCTCCCCATGAGCAGTTTTCTTTCCAGTAAAGGAAAAAGGATCCATCCAGGAAAAAAGCTGCAAGTAGTTATATTCATCAAATACAGAACTTTCCCAATAGAGAATGATTCTATTTTGAATGACTTTTTATTCCCTTCAGATTCTTTGGGTTAACAAAAAACTCATTTTAACTTCCTGATCTCAAAATATACAAAGTGCACTAACTCTATCCCAGCCATCAAGAATCCTCTGACTCCATGGTGAATATTCAGAGATGTTGAGTCTTACAGTACCATAAGGTTCTGGTCAGATTTGGATGTTGGCTATACTGGCTCTTAAAATCAGTGTTTCATCAGGCCAGATGGTAAATAAGTTTGTTTTCTTACCCTGACTAATGGTATTATTTCCTCTCCCACAGAGCCACTAGAGATATCACATCTAAGAACATTCATTTAGGAAAACCTTCACTTTTAAAGATATTTGTTAGTGCATTTTGTAGGGATAAAGGACAGTCAAGGCCTCAAAGCTGAGATTACCTTAAGGTACACTGATTAGAGAAGTGTATTTAAAAGTTTATAAAGAATGAAAAAGACTAGTAGCAAAGCAAGACAGACCCAAATTAATCCAGAATAATGATTTATTTTCTTAGATAACAGATTGAAATGTGACTACTTAGATTGTGTTATATAGCTAAGAAGGGGGAAAAGTTGCTTGATTTATATCCATCGTTACAATTCTGATTTGGAGAAATTACCTGAAAGAATAGGGGTTGAAAAATAAAAAGTCAATTAGGACCACACTTGACACCATAGGTCTTGAAAAAAAAACATATCAGAAAATCTCTTGAGTTTCACCTCTAGCCCTGAACTCTATGGCCTTTGATTTTCTCATCTGTAAAATTAAGATGTTGATAAAGTACTGTCTCCAATTTGATTACCAGTTTTGAAACTACATGGAGGAAGAATTGAAACCATAAACAGAAATATATCAGAAGACTGTGATTAATGGAAGAATATACTATTTTCTCCTATTTTATAGGCAATATTAACAAAAATTTATTGGGTGTAGAGAAACCAATAGAACAGCAGTAGTTTGTAGAGCAATAGCTATTATTATGCTATGTTAGTGGGCATGTAAATTTGTACAATTTGCCCGGCAGAATTTCAATGTTGGTAATAAGTTAAAACAGGAAATTGCATATGACTCATATGCCCAAAGAAAAGGAGTTGCATGGGCCTTCCATGCGTGTTTTTATGCCCGTTTATTTGCAGAGCATACATCTGAAAAGATGCATATAGAACAGTTACCTGTGGCTATTCAAAGAAAGTATTATAAAGAAGTAATGATAGAAGATACAAGGGTTTTCACATTCATTTAGGAAAACCTTTACTTGTAAAGTATTCTGCTGTTAGTTTGAAATTTAATATATTTTGTAGGAATAAAGGGCAGCAAAGCATCTTAAAACATGTTAAGGCAAGTGAATTGAAAAAATTCCTTTTTATTATGGGACATTATGAGAATGCCAGTTAACATGGTGAACTAAGCATTTTAATAGAAAAATTTGTACTTTCACTTCAAACAATAAAATAAAATGTCTAGATTGAACAAATGTGCTTGAAGTCTTCAAAGATGTAAATTAAAGAATAGAAATCATCTAGCGATAACAGTATAGCATGAAAGAAAATAAATGGGTTTATTTTAAAGATACAAAAATTCTAGTTATTAAAATTGAATAAATGGGCAAGAATAATGGTCAACTAGTTACAATTTAAAGGGGGAATTTGTGAAACGAAGATACAACTGAAAAAAATTATTAATTCTGTAGCTGAGAGAAAAAAACATGGAAGAGAAAATCAGAATATTTGGAAGGATGGAATGAAATGGTACCACAATAGGAAAGAATGGAAGAAGTTAGTATAAGAGAAAATTACTGAGAAACATTCAGTATTACATACAATCAAGAATCCTCAGAATAATGTCACAAAAGAGTCCCCAAAAGGATAAGTCAAAATAAACACATAATGAGACACAACACAGTAAGATTGCAAAGCATTTGAGAGGGTATATTTCTGACCTAGTGATAGTGAAAGATCTCTTTAAAAAGACCACCCCAAATAAACTATAAGGATAAACATGGATGGATCTAACTACCTTAAAATTTGTGTTTAACAAAAGTCTCACCGGTAGTTGACAAATTGGAAGAAGGAATTTTCCTTCACTAAACTTGACAATAGATTAACATCTAGAATACACAAAGAACTTGTGGACACCAACAACAAAAGCCAAAAAAAAAAAAAAAGAGGCAATAATATATGGTCAAATGATGTAATTTGCCAATTGTAAAAGATAAGATTGATTGATTTTTGACAGGAAGTAGGTTTTATTGGTGGGCATGAATAGGGAGGGGGCAGTGCCGAGATTCTCATGAGTGCAGAGCCCTCCATTTGTCAAAGGGGCCACGATTAGGGATGTATTTGACCCCACAGCCATCTGGGATAAGCCGCTTTTCAGCCACCATGTCTTCAAATTCATCCACATTAAACTTAGTAAAGCCCCATTTCTTGGAGATGTGGATCTTCTGGTGGCCAGGGAACTTGAACTTGGCCCTGCATAGGGCCTCAATCACATGTTCCTTGTTCTGCAGCTTGGTACGGATGGACATGATGACTTGGCCAATGTGGACCCTGGCTACTGTGCCCTGGGGCTTTCCAAAGGCACCCCGCATACCTGTCTGCAGCCTAGATTGGAGATAGCATGAGGTCAGACCTCAATATCCCCTGGAAAGGGCTGTCTCCAAGGTCCCTTAGGGCAACCCATACAATCAACAGGCTGCATACACTACCAAGGAGGCTACTGTTTGCAGCCATGGCACACTGGGCCCCCATGGACAAAGAGCACAGTCGGCTTAATTGGAAGCAGAGTAAAAAATAAGATTTAAAGATTAAGATATGATAGGAATCAGAGAAAAGCAAATTATGTAATGACATATTTCTTTTTGTATCAAGAAAATTATTCGGAGCATGCATAAAAATATACAGAGGAAAACACTTCTTGATGCTGCTGGCAAAGAACAATATTAGAAGCCATTCGTGAATGCAATCTGGTAGTACTGAAGGATAATAATATTTGCGTATCCTATCAGACTATCACATTTGCTGGCATATTTTCCCAGACAAAATTTTTTCACATATTCAAAAGCAACATTAATATGTTGTTAATCTCCGTCTCTTTTTACCTTCACAGGGAACTGGTGGCAGGTATGGTCCACGATTAGGGAAATGTATTAAAAAGAAGAAGAGGGGCGCCTGGGTGGCTCAGTTGGTTAAGCGACTGCCTTCGGCTCAGGTCATGATCCTGGAGTCCCAGGATTGAGTCCCACATCGGGCTTCCTGCTCAGCAGGGAGTCTGCTTCTCCCTCTGACCCTCTTCCTTCGTGCTTTCTATCTCTCATTCTCTCTCTCTCTCTCAAATAAATAAATAAATAAATCTTTAAAAAAAAAAGAAGAGAAATTGTGCTATGAGTATACTACATAGTAAGTGGGTACAATAAAATACAACAAAATGAGCAGATCATGAAAATAATTTTCAGTATAAAACATAATGAAATTTAGATCTTGCCACTATCAAAATCACACACACACAAATCTATGCAAGCATACATAAGAATTATATAAAATTTTATTAGAGAACATATCTATGAGAAAGAGAAAGTTAAGGCACTGTTCTGTTTTCTTGTGTATAAATCATGCTTTATTGTTTCCTTGCATTTCTCATAAGATTTGTTGAAAACTGGACATTTTTAAAAGTATAAAATTTAAAAAATTGGCAAAGATTGTCCCTCCTCTTGAGGGTTTGTTGTTGCTGCTGCTTGTAGATGTTGTTTAGTTAGTAACCTTAATGAACTAATTTTGTAATGCCTGTATTTTTGGTTGTGTGGGGCCACTGAAGTCTCTGTTCCATTAGCTTGGTGCTTGGCTAGCAGATGGGCGGAAATTTCCTTAAATGCTTGGAAGCAAAAAATAACTTTAAGCTTTTAAAGATGGTCTCTGTATTTATTGGACTATGCCTTTGAAGCACAGCTTAGCCTCTGCTTCCTGTGTGTACAAAGCCTAAGTTATCAGTCAGAAATAGAAGGTTAGGGCATTTTCAGGTATTTCCTGAGCATGTGTACAGGAGCTTGTGGCTTTCTAGTTTTCCAGGAATGTGTTGGAGCTTTTAAAAACTTACTCTCCCAAAACGTCATTTTGTCAGCTTTCCTCTGCAACATTTTGGTTAGTCTCTTGTTTTCCCCAACAGTGATCCATTGCCCTAGGCAGTAGTGACTAACACGTTTGCCTCTAAACGTTTTAGACAAATGCCCCCTTAGTAGCTACTTCAGCACTCAGAATGTTCTGAAAGGCCAAAGACAAGCCCGTTGGACATCCTCCATAGAGGCAGCACATAGATCAAAATACACAAGCGCAGTGCCTTGCAAATGAGGTCATTCTGCAGCTTTAGGTACTAGTACTTGTACCAGGAAAGTGGTTATTACTTTCAAGGCAACCCTTGAGCTGGGAAGGGAGGAATGGAACCGGGGTAGGTTAAATACCACAGGGTTCTTTATTCTTATTGAGATTCAGCCACATTTTCTTGATTATGAATTTCTCTGGTTGCTGTTAAGATTTTCTTCCTATAAGTCACCTTCCTATAAGTTTCCAGAGTTCCAAAAAATTGATTCCAATAGCTGTTGCCAGTTTATTTGTTGCTTTTATGGAGGGATAGACTTTTGGTACTTTTTACTCTGCCATTTTCACTGATGTCCAGAGCCATAACATTTATTTTATTTTTTTTTTTTAAAGATTTTTTATTTATTTATTTGACAGAGAGAGAGAGCACAAGCAGGTGGAGTAGCGGTTAGAGGAAGAGGGAGAAGCAGGCTTCCTTCTGAGCAGAGAGCCTGATGCGGAGCTCAATCCCAGGGACCCTGGGATCATGACCTGAGCTGAAGGCAGTTAGTTGCTTAAGCAACTGAGCCACCCAGGCGCCCCAGAGAGCCATAACATTTAAAAACATGAAGAAAGCAGTTGAGTTATCTTCTGAATATATTTTTTTAATATGAAGAAATTGAAATTAGAAATTAAAAATTTAAACAAGTATGCTTTGGCATGAATAAGCAGAATGTTTCAGATATAGACGTGTCTGAACATAGCATATAATCTAATCCATATTTGACATTATTAAAACATGACTAGCTAGAAGCTAAACTTCAGTAAGTTATTTATTTATTTTTTTAAAATAATCTCTACACCCTGTATGGGGCTTTAACTCACGACTCAGAGATTAAGAGTCAAATGCTGTGCTGACTCAGCCAACTGGGTGCCCTGCTATTTCTTCATTTTTCTCCACCTCAAGCCTGGTTCTGTTTCCTAATTATTTAATGACAAGGTTGAAAACACTGGCTTCAGTTTTGCATTATCTTTCTTCATATTCTATAGTTCATAAACTGTCAGTAAATTGTCAGGACCCCATTTCTAAACACCATCACCCAATTTAGATTCTCATCTTCTCTAAACAAATCCATTGCAATTGGTTCCTGGCTAAAGTTTCTGCCTCCAGCGTCTTCTCCACTTAAGGCTCCAAAAGTAAATTTTTTATCCCATTGTCATATTACCCAAATTCTGTAAGACAACAAAATAAATTTAATTGCTGTTCCTCAAATAATGTGTCTGCTTCTACATATACCTTAAGTGTCCTCTTCACTAGTAACATCTAAATTATTTCTGTCATTCATCCAATTACAAATACCACTAATTTAGGGGAGCTTTTCCTTCTACACAAAGCCTTTTCACCTGTATACTGGATATTTTTACTAGCAATACTTTATCCTAGGCATTATTTTATTGTACTTTTTAGATATATATACACTTCCTTGAAAATTTTCTGAGGGCAGAGATTAGCCTTTCCATCTTTGTATCTATCCATTACCTTTCTAAGTGTTTTGCATAAATTTGACCCTCAGAAAATATCTGTTGAGCTGAATTAAAACTGTAATGTAAATTGCTTATCAAAGGTTGGCGACATGTCATTCATTAAATAGATCATGTTTCATATATGTACAGACCATATGCTCTAATAATCATAAATATCTCCAACTATTGTTCTCTTGCTGCAATAAAAGAGGCAATTAACAGTTATTTTAGAGAAGTGTTAAATACTTTTCTGTATAGAAGTGTCAAAGAACTCTCCAGTGAGCAACTCTACAATATAAGCTGAAAAATGTAGCAATTGTTCTTTTTACTTTATTCAAAAGAGAGCTTGTATTTATAGATTAGCTAACTATGATTTCATAGAAATCTTCATAAATATTTGCATACTTTGAGTCTAAAATATGGCTCCTTATAAAAGATCATTAAATAAGAAGTGATATTATAATTGAAATTTTATTTACTCTACAGTCAAGGTTATTTTGTGACTTTTCCCTGCTTCCCAAATCATAATAAGCAGATATTTGTCTCCTTGCTTTTAGTCAAATGGTTGTTAATGGGCTTTGAGGGAATATTTTCCTTCACATTCCTTGACTGAGTTTTTGTTAGGCTGTGAGCCAAGCCATTCTTACCTCTTTAATATTCTTAGTAATTACTTCACACAGTGCTATTATTGCTCATTCTGCTCTACATTTGGATTAAGGAACAGACACAGATTAATTACCTCCAATTTTGTCAGGTTTCATCACTAATACAAAACACATTACTATTCTTAGAGAATGGGTCCTTTTTGAAGGGCTCTCCCGGTAGTATTCTTACTGTGTATGCTTTGCTAAGACTCGTCACTTCTGTGGTTCTTTCTGCACTGAATGGACCAGAAATCTCAGTCTCTGGTGACAGCTCCCTTCTGTCCTGATTGTGTAATATTATCCTAACTTTTATCATCACCCTTTGAACTTTCTTAAGAACTTTTATAGCTCTTATGCTAGTCATTTGATTCTCAGCACACCCAGTGAGGGGCATGCAATGAATATGATCATCCCCTTTTACATATGAGAAAACTGAAACCCAGAAAGATTTAAATGAATTATTTAAGTTTAGTGGCAGAAACCATTTCTCCTGACTACTAGCTCTTTTCTATTTCTATAATGTTTTGCTGCGGTCCTTGGTTGATTATAATCTTCCTGGGAAAAAATGGTATCCTGTCTTGTATGGAGTTGTTTTTAGATGCTATCTCAAAGATATGTTGGAAAACAAATGATGCTCATTTGAGCAATTTTGAGGACCCCCCCAAAAAATATCTTTTAAGCATGTATATTTTCTATTTCGTGTGTTTTTTTTTCTTTAAGGACTAGAACCATTATACTAAAATATTACTAATTTTTTATTAGTCTTTTAATCACCAAATTTGAATGAGCTGTTTGGTGAAGCACATGTTTATCAAAAATAACACCAAGAATGTTGAGAAATTATTGAAAAAGTTGGCCTATAGCATGATCTGTATGGGAAATACCCCTTCCTTATCCCCCAACCAACTTCTAATGAACTTTCAGTAAATTATTTATTTTTAACTTCAAGGCAAGGTGTAGACAAAACTGTGAAAGGAGCAAAAGTCATATGTGGTATTTAAATCACTTGAATGGTAACATTTTGATCCCACTTTCTGGCATCTTGACCTATAAGTATACATTAATACTGGTAAATACATGTTTTAAAGACTTTTATGATTTATTTTCATTCTAGTATTCTGATATATAGATTAATATTATAGTTATATAATCTAAGTAGTGATGAATTCTGAGGAATTTAGTTCTAGGGTAAAACAGAGTTCAGTTGTAGATCATACGCTGATATACAGGGAACCTTGCCTTACTTTAATATCATGCATGCAACTTCCTTCCCATGGGAATAATCTTGCTAGAAGATGCAAGTAGAAGAAAATAAAAGGAAGGAGGTACTTCCAAGTATCAAAGAATAAATGGCTAGTAATTAATATAATTTTTAATCTCATGGATATTTAATCTCTCATGCAGGGCTTAACAAATTAGAGTTAAATTTTTAGGCATAATATTTCGTCAGATAAACCTCAACTCAGGTTAATGAGGTTCCATAAGCAATCCCCAACCAGAGAACAGATTGGAATTTAGTAATACTGCTGTATTTTTAAAATTTTCTCATCACCTTCTCATCATGTTGAAATGTTCTTGATCCACACTTTTTCTTTTTTATGGGAGTTTGATGGTGTAGTCAATAGCAATATCATCACAAATGTTTTTTTTTTTTTGTGGGAAGAGACAGCTGTGTTCACCTACAAGTAGTATGTACCATGAAGAACTTAATTTAAACAGATGTAATCTAATTAAGACCTTATAAGATATCTTCCCCCATACACACACATTTCAGAGCTTAGTAAAAACAAACTAACTGCAGAGATTTTACATGCTTACCCTTATTCTCAAGTCAATATTTTTATAAAATTATAAGCAAAAGGATTTATTTATTACAGATTTAAAAAACAAAGAAGGACTCATTTCCCGTAGAGATTCTCTTTTACTTTCTAGGCTTTTGTTTAAACAAAAATTCTGTCCTTTTTAAATTCATTCCTTCTAGATATCTTCTTTTGGGGACACCAAGGTTATTGGACATTGCTATCATGATGCATGATACTCTCCATCACACACCATCACCATCATGATCTGTTTGACAAAGGCATAACTTCTAAATGATGGCCTATTGCTTTTCCAGGGAACTTATCTATCATCACACTAAGACATACATACTGTGTTTCCATCTAGATGATTCTAGTCACTTGGCTATTTACCTATTTGTCAACTGGTTTTCATTTGACTACAGCCCCTTTTCCATTTATTTATTCTCTGCTCTTTATTGCAGGGACTGGAAGCTTGCAAATTACATTCCCAAATCCATTGCCAGCCGGCCTCCTATGAGGCTTGTTAAGATGAGGCACGTCATAAAGAAAAAGAGTCCGTTGTTTTTTTTCTGAAGTGGCAATCCCATTTCAGGATTTGAATACTTGCTGTTCAGCACCTCTTCAGTAATTCCAGCTTTGGTCATGTAGTAACTTCAGTTACCCTGCAGTTAGTTCAGACTTGGTACTACTCTAGGAGTTGAAATGATCTCCTTCTTCCTAAGTTTCATTTCTTATCTTAAGTGCTCTTCAAGAACCCTCTTTTTCCTTTTATCACTTCATTTACTTATGGCATATGTGTAGCAAATTCCCTACACTAAATCTTTCTCTGTTAGCAATATCTAGAAATCTTTCTATTTTCTCAAGTTGACTCTGACTGATACTGTACTTATGGGAAGTAGTCCCAAGCAATTGGTCTTTGCAGATGGCAAATTGGGATGGGTTTCATGAATTGACTAGGCTTGAACATGATAATAATCTCATTGTTTAGTGGAATATGGGATAATATAAATGTATGCAGTAACAGAACACTTATTTAGTTAATTATTTTTGCTTAGGATGGGGTGCATTTGAAGATAAAGCTTTGAGATATCAGTTATTGCTGCAGTTTTGACTTCTTGGTAAGAAAGATATTACAAAGACTCAGCTTAATAGCAATTTCTGATTAAGTTTAGGGGAAAAGTGGACAAGCACAGGCTTTAAAATTTTAGCAAAAATCACAGAATGAAAACAACTAACCTTCCATGATTATGCTACAACTGTTTTGTCTTATTATATGATAGCTGCAGCTAAAATTCAAACCTAAATTCAATTTTGCATGACGGAGAATGAAAATGTAAGTTGAGTCATAAGCTTATTGATCTTATGTAAAATTAATAGATGGGAAAGAAATGGGACCCTGAGAATTGTAATGAGGACATATGTGAAGACTCAGATAAACCTCTGAAACCGGAGCACCTAAATCCCCTTGAGCCTCCACAACTAAGGAACACAGGTCCTTCCCCATGTTAGGAGACTGGCCTTCCTTTGTTTGAAGACCCTATCATGATATCAGCTGTAGGTTCATATTTCAAAAGCATGCACATTTGCATCAACATTCCCCCTAACTACCTTTCACCCAGGCTCAAAATTAGGTTTATATTTCATCATGCTTGGTGTAGGGAGACAAATATAGAGTCTTAACTAGGAAGAGATAACTGATACCCCAAAATATTTGTTAATTGTTACTTTATTTCAGCATAAAGCTGGTATATATTTTAGGAAGTAAATATTTAGGGTTTTAGATCAGGGTCAGGAAACTGAATCATGTAGGCCCATCTGTTTTTGTAAATAAAGATTTTTTTTAATTTAAATTCCACTTAGCTCACATACAGTGTAATATTAGTTTCAGGTGTAGGATTTAGTGTTTAATCACTTACATACAACACCCAGTGCTCATCACAAGTGCCCTCCTTCATACCCATCATCCATTTAACCCATCCCCCTGCCCACCTCCCCTCCAACAACCCTTGTTTGTTCTCTATTGTTAAGAGTCTGTTTTATGGATTGCCTCTCTCTCTTTTCCTTTATGTTCATTTGTTTTATTTCTTAAATTCCACATATGAGTGAAATCACATGGTATTCATCTTTTTTTTTTTTTTTAAAGATTTTATTTATTTGAGAGAGAGAATGAGAGAGAACACGAGAGGGAAGAGGGTCAGAGGGAGAAGCAGACTCCCCGCTGAGCAGGGAGCCCAATGCGGGGCTCGATCCCGGGACTCCAGGATCATGACCTGAGCGGAAGGCAGTCGCCCAACCAACTGAGCCACCCAGGCGCCCAGTATTCATCTTTCTATGACTGACTTATTTCACTTAGCATAATGGTCTCCAACTCCATCCACATTGTTGCAAATGGCAAGATTTCATTCTTTTTTATTACTAAATTATATCATATATTTATGAGTATTATATATATGTATGTATGATATATATGAATATAACATATGTATATATGTGTCATATATATTATATATATGATATCTATATCTATCTATCTATATATATATATCATTACTTTATCCATTCATCAGTTGATGGACATTTGGGCTCTTTCCATAATTTGGCTCTTGTTGATAATGCTGCTATAAACATTGAGTGTACATGTCCCTTCAAATCAGTAGTTTTGTATCCTTTGGGTAAATACTTAGTAATGCAATTGCTAGATCTCAGGGTGGTTCTTTTTTTAGCTTTTTGAGGGACCTCCATACTGTTTTCCAGAGTGGTTGCACCAATTTGCATTCCCACCAGCAGTATAAGAGGGTTTCCCTTTCTCTACATCTTTGACGATACCTCTTGTGTTCTGTGTTGTTAATTTTAGCCATTCTGACAGGTGTGGGGTGATACTTCATTGTATTTTGATTTGCATTTCCCTGAAGATTAGTGATGTTGAGCAGCTTTTCATGTGGATACATAATTCATTTTAAAACAGAACTGTAGGGGTGCCTGGGTGGCTCAGTCGTTAAGCGTCTGCCTTCGGCTCAGGTCATGACCCCAGGGTCCTGGGGTCAAGCCCTGCATTGGGCTCCCTGCTCCACGGGAGGCCTGCTTCTCCCTCTCCCATTCCCCCTGCTTGTGTTCCCTCTCTCGCTGTGTCTCTCTGTCAAATAAATAAAAATGTTTAAAATAAAATAAAAAATAAAAAACAAAAAAACAGAACTGTAGCCATGTACTCATTGACATGAGACATAGTAGTCAAACCAAATAATGGATTGCCTACCAGCAGTGTTTCTACCAAATATTGAAAAGATCTGTCAGAGTCCTAATATTTTGTTACCAATTCCCTAAATTAAATATTTTCTGCTTGAAATCTTAAGGGTGGTATCTGTTATTCTGTCTGGACCATGACCAGCACATCTTGCCATCTTTTTATAGGGTTTTTCTAGTAGCTGCTGAATCACTAAGTCTGCTAATCATAATTACTGTACAACTATAAGGAATATTTTTCACTCTCCTATTGCTTCCAACACTATTAGCAATATGACCAAGACAACCAAACCAGATGATATTTTGACTAAAAATTCTATAATTTATTTAGCTGTAAACCTTTGAGGCATCATTCAATGTGTGTATGCTCTTAATTTAATCATTTTAACAAATGAACAAATATTATTTTGTTCATTATTATCTTGCTTATTATATTAGAGATGGAAAATAGAAAAAAAGAGTTTTAATATAGGGAAGTTAGAAGAAGACATTACTTAAATTCTGTGAAAAGTCATTTTGAGCTTAAAATAGTATCAGAGAATGTCATCCTGTAATACAGTGGGAAATGGAATAAAGCAGTCTGGCTATGGTATGGACTGGTTAAAACTAATCTATTGAAAAAAACTAATCTATAAATTAGTGGCTCTCAAATTGGATTAATTTCGATCCCCAGGGAACCAAATATCTAGAGACATTTTTAGTTATTACAAATGGTTTGGGGAGTGTGCCTGGAATCTAGTGGATAGAGAACCTATGTATGCTTCTCAATATCCTACAATGCATATGACAGCTGTCCTTTCCTCTAATCACAGCACAGAATTATGCTATCCGACGTATCAGTAGTGCTTAGTTTGGAACACCTGTTATAAATGAACAAAGATATCTCTTAAAAATATTTGGGGCTGATAACAGACAAACATAAATTGAAAGTCCAGTATGCCTATTCCGCTATGTATCCAAGACATGGGAAAGAGAAACCTGGGCAGCACCAATATTAAATTAATTACAGTGGTTGTTTCTCTCTTTTGGGCTTTTTTATTTTTTTCTCTTTAAATCTCAATTTTCTTAACTGGAAATTGAGGAGACTAGACTCATTTATATGTTTTCAAATAATATTGTTGATTCTGAGCTTGATTTTATAAAAATATTGTATGGTGACTTTATATATAAAAGTGAAAATAATAAGGGAAGGAAGAGCCTGTATGTTTAAAATATTCTTATAGATCGGTTTTGGCTAATCCAGCAACTAAGGTAGAACCTGGGGAGACTCACCTTTGTTCTTGAATTGACTGCATTGCCATATCAACAGGTCTGTGTTTATAGTTTTACTAAAATCTATAGTTTAATGTTTCTTAACATCATTTTAAAGTCTCAGAAACAGGTTTATATAGTATAAAAAAGGTATACTATATATAGTATAGTATATACTATATATAGTATAGGGGACTTCTAGGTGGCTCACTCAATTAAGTGGCTGACTCTTGATTTTGACTCAGGTCATGATCTCAGGGTCCTAAGATCAAGCCTCTGCATCTGGCTCCACAGTGGGCGTGGAGCCTGCTTAAGATTCCCTCTCTCCCTCTTCCTCTTCTGCCCCTCCCACCCTCCTTGCATGCTTTCTCTCTCTCTCTCTCAAAAAAACAAAAATCTTTTTGACTTCAAACTCTCAATATAAATTGAGCTATCTTATTAAATTGTTGAGAAAATTTGATATAATGTACATGTAAAAACTGTGAAATTGTTTTAAAAGAAAGTAGTAGTAGTATTCTGATATTTATCAAGTCCTAAGTTATATACAAATATCACCTCATGTAATCATTATAGACCTTTGAGGGAGAGATCATCTTTACGTTAAGAGTATAATAAAATCGCTAATCTTAGTGAATGCTTATCTAAGTGCCAAGCCCTATTTGTTAATTATAATGTCCTTCTTCCCATTTGAAAGATGAGGAAGCTAAGACAAAGTTTTATTAAATTGCCTAAGAACAAGTTGGTCTTAAGTAATAGAGCTAGTGGCTCTACAAAGGTAGTTTTAGACAGAAACCTGATTTCTTGAATACAGTTAGACTGCCTAGCATGCACTAGGATGTTAATGAGAGAAAAAAAGGAAGAGTTTGTGAGCATATGTTGAATCATTATTTGTTACAGGCCAAGGAAGGAAGGAAAAGATAAAAGGAAAGAAAGAAAAGAAATTTCCTGGCCGGAAAAAGACTCTGGAACCTGTAAGTAAGAAGAGAAAGGGGACAGGGAGGGAAGAATACAAAGAAATTAGTGAGATGATTATAATATCTTATATTCTATATATTTCATCCAAATGCACTCCTTTCTGTAATTTATTTTTATCTACAAACAATACAGTTTTCTGGGAATTAGGGTTCTTGTGGGTTAATCAACGAGGGACAAA